TATAGAGATTTGTGGATTCAGATCTAATAGAAAATGTAGATAATAGAAGAAATACAACATGGTATATCTTTATTTTTGGGGAACACTGTGGTGAATTAGATTTTCAGGCAGTAGAAGAGCATTACACTTTTAACTACAGAGGTCGAATACATTACTATCACTTAGTCTAGCAAGAAAATGATCTGGCTATAAAGTTTTATGATAGAATTAGGCAAGGAGCATTGGATTGGAAAGTGTCAGTATCAGTGCAATTCACCTTACTAAGATGCTGCTTTTCATGTCAGAACAAAACAAACTTAGCTGAGATATCATTTTATACACTTTCTCCTAAAAGATTTGCAGTTGTACTTGGAGAACATACACAACTCAGAATTTTATAGACTTGTTAACGAATGTGGTGACGATTAAGAAACCAAAACAATGCTTAGTTTCTGTTCTATTTCATGAAGCTTGAGACCGAGGGTGAGCCACACAACTATTTGTGAATATGAAGGTGGTACAAATCGAAGTACAAATATGGGGGACATGTGTTGGGTGCAATCAGTCTCTAAGTGGGAGATTGTTATAATGTGGAACCTAATTTTGGAGCACCACATGAAAAAACCTGAGCATTGGGCGCTTCTTTCCCGAGTCCCAGGTCGGGCGCAGAATCCGACGCTTCTGCACCCAGATTGTCCGCTCTTACGCCCAAATTGGCTGCTCCTACACCCATAAGAGCAGATTGGGCGCTCCTTCGCCAAACTGCCGGCGCTTCTGCACCCACCTCTCAGGCTCCCCAGGTGCCTCTTTCTCGAGTGACTGTCACTCTAGCGCCCCCTTCTGAGCGCTCCTGCACCAAATGCGATTGCTTCCCATTTTTGCCTTCAGAGACAATTTCACCTAACGAATTATATAATTCTAATGACAATATTTCGATGAATATGAGAAGTGCCGAGAGGAGGCTTTCACGTGCATTTCTCTTATCAGATTGAGAAAAAAGTTGTGAAGCAAAGTGCTGGAAATTTCTTCATTTGTAGAGAGAAAATATGAGTTTGTTCTAAGTAAACTTTCTGAATTCATATTAAATTTTTTTTAGTGGTGTGATTTGATTTTTTTTTTTCCATTCGATTTTTCACGTTAAATCTTACACGATCTCAAGTATTTTAGCTCAATTCAACTCAACCCAACCCATTTTTACACCACTAATGTTCCAACAGTTCAAATCAGCCTATTAAATGCACAAGTTAAGAAGCTATTAAAAATGGCATTGTAAGGTGATTAAATTTGTATAGACATTAATTTATGAAGGTTACTAATACATAATAATTCAAATTAGTTTATGAATTAGAGTTTTTAACGTAATAAAAATTTATTTATTAAGAAAATATAAACAAATAATATGACTAATATTAACAATTAATCTATTGTCCTTCAATGCCTTTTAATATAAAAAGCAACAAAAGAAGATCTTATGCAATGTGGGACTAAATGCTTCATGCGATAGCTTACCACCAAACCCTCTTATGTTTTTTTCTTTTCCAAAATTTACATGCATACTATTCAATTTCTATGTATTTACATATCTAACACCTAAACTTCAATATTTTACATAACATACCACCTTACGCATGCATTAATAGGTATATTTCAGCGGTGTCACAAAATTTTAAATACTTGTATTTTTGATGTGATAAGAAGGATTTGGTTGGTATAAATATAAAATGTAAAGTTTATATGTTAGGTATGTAAATACCCTGAATCTTGAGGTATTTATGTGAATGCCCCTTTAACTAAAAAAGAAAATTAGTTTTAACACACTCATAAATAATATTTGTATTTAAAAAAAAATATTTTTTTGGTGATATTTTAGCGAAGCAAATTAGAAAAAAAAAATATGATGTAGAATTATTGATAATTTTTATAAATAGATTTATTTGTTAATTGTTTTGCATACAATTATTTATTAGTTTTTTTAATAAATTTGTTGTAGAAGTGTGAGCTTCACATGAAACTTGAATTTTTATTAAATTATATTCAATATGATGCTTCATTTTAGAACATGGATTTATTTTTAAGTTAATATCATTTATTTTTTTTATTTTTTTACTTTGTTCAATAAAATCCTATTCTAATTTAGAGATTGACAGTAATTTGAGAGAAAATTAATTTAAGAATTATGATGAATAATATTATATTTTAAAGATGGTCAATGATCGATGATGTGACTATATATATATTTGTTAATGATTCATTTGTTTAATATATATTATTTCAATATTCATATTATAAATATTTGATTAAAAATTTTCATTTATTTATATTTATATTATTTTTTTTTTTCATGTTAAAGTAAATAGTTCATTATTTAAAGAGAAAAGAATGAGTGAAAATTGATTGAAAAAAAAGTATTTGAATTGATTCGAATGAAGACTTTATGCGATACCGTTAAAAAAACCATAAAATAGATTTAAATGCTCGTAACATAAATCAATTTATCAATAATAATGAAATATAAGTCTTAATTTTGAATTATATGCTATTCTTTTTTTTTATTTAATTAATTTTTATAATAAATTTGTCCCTCATAAAAAAAAATTAGTTCAGGCACTATCTACAACTTAATATAATCCTGTTTAGCACATTAAATCCTAAACTCAAAATATTTTGGACATCCCTAAATTTACATAAATGATGATTACTAACAATAGTGAGGTCCAAGCATGCGGGCTTCATCCATAATAGTAGAAAAAAATATTATGTTGGGAGATTCGCACGTTCAGACGATCAATCACCTATGATCACGTCGTTTGCCAATAACTTATGTAATGATGTGATGGCCCGTGATTGATCATGAGGCAATATGCTCCCGAAGGGAGTGCTTATCCTCCTACACGTGACTTCGCACCAGGCTGCCACTAATGGCCCAATTGGTTGTCACAGGAGGCTTCCCAACTTAAAGCTTTTTAAAATAAATTTAAATTGTTCTAGTGGGTTAAGCCAATTGTAGCAGGGTCCCGAGGGGCTCCCACTGTAACTCCACTGTCACCATTAGAAAATTAAGAGGTACCCAATGTTAATTTCTACAAGTCTCCAAAATTATTGTCTTTTAAGTGGTAGTTTGCCACTTTGTTAGGAAAAATTATTCCATGCGGATCGGCGTCCGCACGTAGCTTGCGAGCGGACGCCGATCGGCGCCGGAACCCGGACCGTAAATCACATGATTTACGGTCCTGATGTCTTTCCGTGGGCCCCACCTAAAATTTTTTATTTTTTTTTTAAAAACGGAAATAATCCTGACCGTAGATCACCGTGATCTACGGCCAGGATCGAACACCGCATGCAGAGATGCATGCGGTGTCCGCACGCAATAATCCCCCCTTTGCTAGAGACTAATATTTTTTTTACGAGATAAGGAGCATAACTCTATAAAAATAATTCCGTCTAAGTATTAATATGTAATTAATAAATTTTATCATTTATTTTAAATTTTGAGGTGAGTAGCATGAATCTTGAAGTATTTAAAAAAAAAATATTAAAACTCAAATTAAAAATAATCTAGAACTCAAATTTTAGCAAATTTATATCAAACTGACAGGCTCGATAAGACGGGCCAAATAACACCAAAATTGGTCCAATCAGAGCCAATTCAGGATCAAATCAAGATATTAAACCACTTTTAAAAATTTTGGGTGGTTAATTGAGAGATCAAATGGATTCCAAATCTAACAAGTCTACAGCCGAATCGGGCATATTGATGAGACGAATCCAACGGGCTCAATATCATTCAATTTCGACTTTATTAAGACACTTAAATGTCCACAAAATAACCCCCAATCGAGGGAATCTTTCTGGGTCATCTGATGAAGTGACCTAGATTCCTTCATTATTTACAAGAAGATCATTACTAGACTATATAAATAAAGTCATCATGAAGGGGGACCTAAACCTTAAACCAAAGGAAGAGCAAGACCAGGAGTTGGAACGAGATAAGGAGTTGACTTCCCGTGTTGTTCCAGATGAAGGCCCGATGAACGTTTCTCGCTTCGCAATCCCTAGTTGTCAACCATTGCTCGGAGGCCACCATCAACCACCGTCAACCGTCCCATGCTCGTTGTAATAAAGCCCCTCACGAGGTTGCAACGTACGCTGCAAAGTAATAGAGCACAGTGCGGAGTGAAGGCCGAAGTTGCGAAGTAAAGACCAATGTCGCAGAGTACCGTGACACCCCACAAAACAATGCATCATTTTGAACGCAGGCAATGATACACCTTGAAGACAGAATACCGAAGTCCCAACAAAATACTCCTAACTACAACCGCTCCCAACCGTTGTATGACAAATCCTACTGTAAAAAAAATATTGTATTTCGAGTAACTATGTAACCCTTTCACGTTTGTGGACAGAGACAATGCATGCACTCATCAACTTATAGTATATAGTTTTGACTAGACCAAACCCTGTGATTTTTCCTTTTTTCAAAATTTTCACATAAAAACTTATAGTATTTCTACCTGTTACTTCAATTACCTGTGTGTGTGTTGAACTTTCATATAGAGCTAAGACACTAAATAATCACTCTATCACCGTGAATCTTCTGACACACATCAAATATAAACATATCATAATTATTCTTTAGAATAAAATTAGGTTCAAAATTTTGTTACTAACATTGTTATTATGGATTTTATTCAAATAAAAATTTGAATCTAACTTTTCTTTCAAATTAGCACTTTTTAACTACTTGGGGAAAAAAAAGAGAAGCAATAGTTGAGAGAAGAATACAAGGTGACGAGAGGATAAAAAAGAAGAAACACAATAATTTCCTCTATAATTTTCTTTGCAGTCATAATGAGAAATCCTAATGTTGTGCAAGCATGAGTGTCAATGTTAGCACTGTATTGTTGTAGATAAGTGCAATAATGCTAAAATGAGCATGCTCATTCTACATATAAATTTGCTAGAAAATTATGTGATGTTAGGAATAAGTAATACACCCCATAGTTCTTTGACACCGACTCCTCAATGTCTCATTACTTTGTTGTTTGATCATATATATTATTTTTCTTACAGTATCTTGAAAGACTACAAGAAAGAGAGTTATTACACACCTTCTTTATTGCAGCGGAATATTTTCTGTGATTGGACTAATGCAAATATTATTGAGATTCCTGCAAAATTGCTTCCCCTACATAACATCTATTCCTGTGATTATTTTTTTAGGAATCAACAGTTTTTTGGGACACAATTCAATGATGTACACAAAGCAGTTACAATGCCACCTACAAAATGACACTAAGGAGAAGCAAAGTAAGGCTTTGGTGGTAATTCCAATTGATCAATGCTGCTCTGCAGCATATCAACCACCTTGCTCATTGTTGGTCGACTCCCAGGCTTCGTCTGGATGCACCAAAGCCCCACCAAGCTCATCTTCTTCGCTATCTCCACCGTCTCAGCAGTTACATCCAGACCTTCCATTCTCCCAATCTGATGAAAATTCTCATAAATCCAATGCGGAAAATAGTATCCACTATCACTCTCATTACAGCTCTGTGATCTGTTACTTCTCACTCCCACCATTTCCAAAATCATCATCCCATAGCTGTAAACATCCGACTTGCTCGACACTACTCCAAAGTTTCTGGAGAACAACTCCGGAGCAATATATCCTATCGTTCCTCTCATCTCTATAGCAGAAAACATGCTATCTTTTCTCAGACATAGCTGCGCAAGACCAAAATCAGAAATCTTCGGACAGAAATCTTGATCAAGCAGTATGTTGTGCGGTTTGATGTCGAAATGTACGATGCGAGTACTGCAACCACGATGTAGGTACTCGAGTCCGCGAGCTATGCCAACGGCTATTTGGTACAGTTTATCCCAACCGAGAGTGGATTTTAAATTATCAGCAAGTGAGCCGTTGGGCATGAACTCATAGATAAGAGCTCGTTTAGAGCCTTCAGAACAGAAGCCTAAGAGACTTACAACATTAACATGAGAAGTCCTGCCGATGCTGGCCACCTCGTTAACAAATTCATCGCCGTTGCCTTTCGTTCCACTCAGGAGCTTTACGGCAACCGAACGACCGTCAGGAAATTTGCCTTTGAAGACGGCACCATAGCCACCTTGGCCTAACTTCTCAGAGAAAGATTTGGTTATCTTCTTCACGGCTGAATATTTGTATCTTTTAGGGCCAAGATATTCATATGAAACAAGAAAGGTTTCAATTGTTTGAGCTATGTTGTTCATCTTCCAGAAGATAAAGGTGTTTAATCTGTTGCTTTGGATAATGTAGAAGTACAGAGGTATGCAAAGCAATAGCAGGCATATCAAAGAGGCGCTCAAACCTGCAATAATGTTGTAAATAAAAATCAGATTTAGACAAAAATTGAATAAAAGGAATTTATAGTAGCAATTAGAAAAGAGTGAAAAAGATATTTCTACAAAGACAAGGTAGACAATTGTGATAAGGCAAGCCATGATTGTTTCTCTTATCAGGGCCAAAGGATTGATTGCAATCGAATGGTTTTGCAGTTTGAAATTTCCATAAATTTTGGCTAAGTTCTTGCGTGGTTGAGGAATATTTAAGAGCAGATATTTGTTGAATATTATATAGCGATATTAAATAAGCTTTTCTTTGAGGATGAATTGTTAGGTATGACTCATATACCGGAAGTTGGAGTTTCTTGAAGTGAAGAGGTGTGTTTCTTGAAGTGAAGAAGTGTGTCTCTTGGTGAAGTTGTGTCTCTTCATATTTTGTGGGTTGGGGGGAGCGAGGGCGTGCTGGTAATTTATCTATGGATTTTTTATATGTCTATATATATGTGTAACTCATGGGTATGTAATTGAACTCCCCCTCTGAAATAGTGAAACTTGCCGTTCGCTCCCGATGATGTAGGCATCTTTGCCGAACCTCGTAAATCCCTGTGTTCTTCTTCTAGATTTGTTTCGATTCCTGTGTTTTTCTTCGCCCTAATTTCACAACAATTGGTATCAGAGCGAGGTTTTGTTCTAGAGCGGAGGAGATCGATGCAGGAAGAAGGAAGACGAAGAAGAACAGGAATTCAGAGGAAAAGAAGAATTTGTGGTTCCGATTGCGGAGAGCGAACGAAGGCGCAGACGTTGGAAGGCTCGCAGCAATTACTTATTTGGGGCGCTGCGGTAGAGGATTCAAAGGCAGCGGCGTGATATTCGTGGCAAGAGTTCCAGTTCCGTGGCCAACGGGAGGGAATCAAAGGAATTTTCTGATTTCTTGTTGGCAGACGTGAGAACTGTCGGAGACAGGCGTTCTCAGAGAAGATCGCGTGCAGTTCGCCAAGACGTTCGAACAGAACAGGCCTTGGATCGCGATCAGGATCCACGAGGAGGTTAGCGTGTAGTTCGCAAAGCTCTGCGAACAGAGGGCTTGGCAGAGGTGTTCGCAGTTCGGCCGAATTTTTCGCGCAAAAAGATTCGCGAACAAGGGCATTGGCGAATCGTCGCTTGCGGGCGGAAGGAGTTCTCGCCGGAGTTCGGGGCAAAGCATCGCGAGAGGGCTTCTTCGGCAGAGGACGCAGAGGTTGCTTTGCGAGGCGAGAATTTTGCGACCGAGAAGGCTTCGCACAGGTCGCGACGTGGAGAGGTTCGACCGCAAAGGTGTACACAGGCGTCACGGGTTCCGCGAACAGGCGCAAGAGTTTCGCGAACGGCGGTTATGGCTGCAGCAGTTCGCGGCAGTTGCTTCGGTTCGGTAGTAGGCAATTTCCGCAGGTGGAGGAAGCGGAGGCAAAGGAATACCGGAAGAATCCTAAAGGAATATTCCTTGCTAGAGGATTTGCCTTTGGAAGTATAAGGAAGAAAATTTATTTCCTAGAAGTGAATTTCTTTGCCGGTGTGAAGAAATAGCTAGAGGTTCACCAGTTTCATAGAACAGTTTGCGAAGAGGGCTGCAGAGGAGTTCGCGGGTTTGTGCAGTTGCAGTGGAGTTCGCGGGTTTGTCGCACGAGGAGTTGCGGCATGTGCAGTTGCAGCGGAGTTCGCAAGTTTGTCGCACGAGTTGCGGCATGTGCAGTTGCAGCGGATTTCTCAAGTTTGTCGCAGGACTTGCGACATGTGCAGTTGCAGCGGAGTTCGCAAGTTTGTCGCACGAAGAGTTGCGGCATGTGCAGTTGCAGTGGAGTTCCCAAGTTTGTCGCAGGAGTTGCGGCATGTGCAGTTGCAGCGGAGTTTGCAGGTTTGTCGCACGAGGAGTTGCGCATGTGCAGTTGCAACGGAGTTCACAGGTTTGTCGCATGAGGAGGTGCGGCATGTGCAGTTGCAGTGGAGTTCGCAGGTTTATTGCAGGAGTTGCGGCATGTGCAGTTGCACTGGAGTTCACAGGTTCGTCGCAAGAGAAATTGCGACAGATGGAGTTCGCAAATTTTGCGGATTGTTCGCAAGTTTGTCGCAGGAGTTGCGGCAGGTGTTCACAAGTTTGTCGCAGGTGCAGTTGCGACAGGTGGTGCTTGGCCAGCGGAGTTCGCAAGTTTATTGCAGGTGATTTTGCAATAGAAGGAGTTTGGTTCCGGTGAATAGTAGCCATGTTTTGCGAACAGAGGAGTTCGGCCAGCAGAGTTTGCAAGTTTGTCGCAGGAGTTGCGACAGGTAGAGTTCACAGGTTTGTTGCAGGAGAAATTGTGACATGTGGAGTTCGGCTGGTGTCCGCAGTATTTCAGCCGAATTTTTGTGCGAACAGGAAATGTGCTTAATGTGAAAAAATTTAATTCACGAATCACTGAAAACTGCTGGAAATTGTTGCAAATTGACAGAAGAAATTTCAGGTTTATTTGAATTTAATTGTGGTGTGTGTTTTGTTTCCATGCAAGGCAGCTAAAATTCGCACAGGTAAAATTCACTGCAGAATTAAATTCGAATGACAATGTCTTGTACAAAATTCAAGATAATGAAGTTCGGCGGAACATGAAACTTCAGATTGTTGCAAACAAATGTGAAAAATTTGTTGGCACAAGGAATTTTTTGAAGGCATTGCGGACTATGAAACCTGACGGTAATATCTATAAACTGTTGGGGAGTACAGTTGTAGATGGAGAGTGCACTCTGTCGGATCATATGATGGAAATGCAGCAAGTATGTTGACCAAGTCAGGTATTCTCAACAAGTTCTTGAATTGCTTGAACTTGTTGAATGTTAGCAGTTGCTAGTTGGCATGGTTGTCCAACCCACTACGGTGTAAGAAACTCCATGAAGTATTTTCTTCTAAAGAGGTTGAATATTCACTAAGGTGGAGATTTGTTTGGTAGACGCATATACCGGGTGATGCATATCTCCTAAGGTGTCTTGGCGAAGAGGTGCGTCTCTTGGCGAAGAGGTGCGTCTCTTGGCGAAGAGGTGCGTCTCTTGGCGAAGAGGTGCGTCTCTTCATATTTTGTGAGTTGGGGGGGGAGCGAGGGCAAGTTGGTAATTTATCTATGGATTTTTTATATGTCTATATATATGTGTAACTCATGGGTATGTAATTGAACTCCCCCTCTGAAATAGTGAAACTTGCCGTTCGCTCCCGATGATGTAGGCATCTTTGCCGAACCTCGTAAATCTCTGTGTTCTTCTTCTAGATTTGTTTCGATTCCTGTGTTTTTCTTCGCCCTAATTTCACAACATGAATGCTAGCAGGTGAGGATAGCTCTATAAGAGGGGAAAATTATGTTGTGGTATATTGAAAATTTAAAACGATCGACGACGAAGCGAAAAATAGAAACAGAAAATTCACGCCAAAAGAACACACAAATTTATGTGGTTTGACAAATTGCCTACATCCACGGAGTTGCAGAGGATTTTATTAATTGAGGAATTTACACTAGTGGATCGTCTCCAATTTCAAGAGCGAACTCTTTCTCTCACTTATTCTCTCTTCTCTCTACATCGAGATATACCGAAGAAGAAAAAAAACATACAAAAGAAAAACCTATTTCTCTTCTACCACAATCTACCAAGAAAAAATCAAGGAGAGCAACCTTCTTCTTACACTATCTTCTTCTTCCTTCTGCCAAGCACGCAGAAACGACTAAGAGAGAGCACCTTGCGAAAAACAAACCTTTTTCTATCTTCTGCTTCCCGTAAGCCTCAAGAAGAATCCAAGCCGAGAATCTCTGCGAACCGAAGGAAGGCTTCTTTCGCCAACTGAAGGAGGCGGAGACGGGAGGAGCGACTGTTTTCGCGAACGTGAAAGTCGGGATGAGTCGGGATCGAGGGTTTCACAAACTGAAGGAATGGAACGTGACGGGAGGAAGGAGCGACCTATTTTCGCGAATCGAGAGAGGGAGACAGGAGCGTGAGGCGGGGCAGTTGCTTTTTCTCCTCTTAATTATTTATTTATTTCTTTGAGTCGGGCTCCACACTCAACAAATCTCCCACTTGGAGACCGGTTCACAGATTGCAACGTTCTTCCTCCTCAAACTGATACCCTCTACTGGTGGTGTCACCCTTCAAACATGAATCTTCCACCTCTACAACTCAAGCAACTCAAGACCACTGTCTTCACACCAAAAGACCAACTGAAGTTGCGCACAACTTTAGTTTTTCAAGTGTAACACCCTTTGTCAACATATCAGCAGGGTTCTTGCTTTCACAAATTTTCCAAGCAACAAATGTCTGTCATCCAACAATGATCGTATGAAGTGATATCTGATCTGAATATGCTTAGTCCTGGACTGAAATGTTGGATTCCTGGCAAGAAATATGACACTCTGACTATCACCGTAGAGTATGCCCATCTGATCCTTCTTGCCCAATTCTTTCAAGAAACCCTGTAGTCATATCATCTCATTTGCAACCTCTGACACTGCTATATACTCAGCTTCTGTAGTAGACAACGAAACTGAATAATGAAATTGTCTTCTGCAGATTAGAGCCACGTGATACTGCAATGCCGCCAATAGTGTAAATATAGTATGTAGTACTTCTTCTAGTCTCAATGTCTCCAGCTAGATCAGCATCAACATAGCCCTGTACCTCTGAACTTTTTCCTGAGAAACACAAGCAAGTTTCTGCAGAGCCTCTTAGGTACCTCAAGATTCATTTCACTGCTTCTCAATGTTCCTTTCCAGGATTACTCATATATCTGCTAACGACTCTCACTGCATGGGCAATATCAGGTCTGGTGCAAACCATAGAATACATAAGTGAACCAATAGCTGAAGCATAAGGAACCTTACTCATGTGATCTCGTTCCTCCTCTGACTTGGGTGAATGATTCTTGCTGAGTCTGAAGTGACTTCCCATGGGTGTGTCAACTGATTTGGTCTTATCCATGTTGAACCTGCTAAGCACATTTTTCACCACATTTTTCACATACTCAGCTTTTCACATACTC